CTCTCTACACCTTCACGCCGCCACGCCAACCTGCATTTTGCCGCTGCGCCTCCATCTTCAAGTCTGCCGGAATCGAAGCATTTTTCTTCTTGCTCTTCATTTCAACGAGCCATCTTCAAAGTCGGACCACCTTAGAGTTAGGATAATTCTAATTTAAAATCTTGCCGAATCCGACCTATTTTGGATTCATTTCTTTTTCTTAGATCAAAACAAGATTTCAAATTCTTTCTTTTTTTTTTCTTTTTTCTGAGTTTCCGTTCCAAACCCCAGAAATTGTTATAATCTGTAATCGTTTCAAGTACAGGGTTCCAAACTGAGGCTTAGCTTCCAGATCGAGACACTGTCGAAAGAGCTTCACATATTTCCCGGCAGATATAGTTCCAGATGATTACCATCCCGTACTTGACCGCCTTAACCACCTATTTTAGCTATGGCCTCCTCTTCGCCTTTGGTCAATTCCGTGATTTTTTCAGAAAATTTTTTGATTGGTGGAACTCTAGCAATCTTCAGGTCCGCAGCAATTTCCGTTTCCTGAATTTTCTTGTTCCTCTTGTCAATGCGTATCTTCAAGCTTCATCCCTGATTCCACCATTTTGCACTACGTGATTTCCTTCCACAGGGCTACGCTCCGATCTGCTTAGGCCTCGAGGATTTTTACATCCGTCGGCTGTATCTTCGCATTCAGGTATCGATTTTAACGATCAATTCAACGCCTCGAATAATATTTGTCGTTGCTTGTTCAGTTTTTTAATTTTCAGAATATCCATCCCAACCAAATTTCCCTATCACATTGTTTCTATTAACAACCTTGTTAACCAGTACATCATGATTACTCTACTTACTGTTCATAAGGTTGACTTGAGATACGAGCAGAAGTAAACTGCCGTCTGGCTGCCTTTCCACAGGCTCATCGGTTTCAAATCTTTCATTAGAAAAACTGAGCTCTTTGATTATGATTTCAATTACAATCCAATAGTTCTATTAAAAAAATTTGAAGTCTCACATTTTTTTCTTGGATCATCTACGAGGAGCCTAATTTCTCCTCTTATACATTTTTTCCTGGGCAGGACTGTTTTGGACGACCTATAGCAAGTGCACCAGATGCTTGGTTTGATGTGGTTGAGCGTTACTCCAATGACTATAACAAGACGCTGAAGTTTGTCTTTGATGAATTCCCTTTATCATATTCATGTTCTTTACTTTTTGTTGTTCCCCCAAAGCTCTCCCACGGGCTACTATACTACCTTTTTATTTTTATTTTTTATATCTCATTAATTTTGAGCTGATTTTAGGAATTTTCACTTCAATCTCTTTTTAATACATTTATCATATAGGCGAACCGCAAATGTCTCAAGGTGTCTGAACCTCGGATCATACAACTATCTAGGCTTTGCTGCAGCGGATGAGTATTGCACACCTCGTGTAATTGAATCATTAAAAAGGTTCTCTCCAAGCACCTGCAGTACTCGTGTTGATGGAGGTAACTTGAACTAATGGACTTTTGCACCATGTTTCTACTCGCATCTCAAATTACTAATTCCCTCCTTTTGTCTTAGGAACCACTTCATTGCATGAAGAATTAGAGGAATGTGTGGCTAACTTTGTTGGAAAGCCAGCTGCTCTAGTGTTTGGTATGGGCTATGTAACAAACTCTGCCATTCTTCCAGTTCTAATAGGGAAGGTAAACGGACGCACAGTAATTAAAATTACTCTTGCACGTTAAATGAAAATTGTTTCAAAATTTGACCCTTTGTTCAACTGCAGGGAGGGCTAATTATTAGTGATTCATTGAATCATAATTCAATTGTTAATGGTGCTCGGGGATCGGGAGCTACAGTTCGTGTGTTTCAACATAATAGTAAGTGGTATCGAACATAAATTGTTTCTTCTGATAATTGTAATTTCTAGTGAATGTAAGGACTCTAATTTTCTGACTCTCCTTTCCCCTATGTTTTAGCTCCTTCACATTTGGATAAAGTTTTGAGAGAGCAAATTGCTGATGGGCAACCCAGGACACACAGGCCTTGGAAGAAGATAATTGTTGTTGTGGAAGGCATATACAGCATGGAAGGGGAAATATGCAAACTCCCAGAAATTGTTGCCATTTGCAAGAAATATAAAGTAATTATGCCTTAATTATTCACTCAGGCTCTGAGTGATGTCTTCTGGACTAGGATCCCCCTCTTTCACTAATTCAAGAACATATTCTTAATTTAGGGATGACTGGACTTGAGATGGAAAATAAAAACTGAAAGATAGAGAAACATTGGTGGTATGCATAAATATACACACTTGCAATTGAAATTAAAGAAATGACCATGTAAAAATGTTGAATCGATCTTGATCACAATGTTCTCATTTATAGATTTAGATCTCTGTTCCATTTCATTTTTCTCCTTTTTCTAGGCCTATGTCTATTTGGATGAGGCTCACAGCATTGGAGCAGTTGGAAAAACAGGAAGAGGTGTCTGTGAACTTTTGGGAGTGGACACAGCTGATGTAGATATCATGATGGGAACTTTTACAAAATCATTTGGGTCATGTGGAGGCTACATTGCAGGATCCAAGGTTCAATTTGTTCTATTAAATACATACATTCTAACACTAAAAAAGTGGAATGTGCGATATTTCTAAATGAAATTGGTTGATAAAATAGTTCATGAAGACTGTAACACTATTTGTTTCATATCTTTAATTATTAAGATAATTACAACATGCATTAGTCTTTTTTTCCCTCTATGTTTTTGTGCCACCTAAAGTTTGATGCTGACCAATTGGGGTTTGTACATGTTATTCCTCAGTGAGCCAGTTTGTCTTGTGCTCCTCCTCCTTACAGGAAATATGAGGGTTTTCTTTTACAGCAATCTTTTCCTGTCTGCTTTGCTCATATATATATAAGCAGTCTGATAGGAACCGATCAGTCATTTGTACTGTTGTATTTTATGTCTTTAGTTTCTTGGGTGTTTCTTCCAACTAAAGCTTGTATCAACTTTTTAAAGGTTTATTTTGTGGCTTAAAGCATTCAATGGACGAATTCATCAAATACAGTACTTTTCGTCATTTCAGGAGCTTATAAAATATCTCAAATACACTTGTCCTGCTCACCTCTATGCAACATCTATATCACCCCCGGCTGCTCAGCAAATCATATCTTCTCTTAAAGTTATTCTTGGAGAGGATGGTTCTAGTAGAGGTTAGAATAGTTTTTGTCCTTTTTGTCATCATATTAGGATGCTCATTTTGTCCTATAAACTGTAGGTTTCTGAATATGAACAAATTGTTTCTTTTCCTTGATGAACAGGTGCTCAGAAACTTGCTAGGATACGTGAAAACAGTAACTTTTTTAGGTCTGAGCTACAGAAGATGGGATTTGAAGTTCTTGGAGATAATGATTCTCCCGTAATGCCTATAATGCTTTACAACCCTGCAAAAATTCCTGCCTTCTCTAGGGAATGCCTTAGTCAGAATGTAAGTCTGCATTATGTGGCTAGCCTGGTAGTTTCATTCATTGTAGATGTTCTCTTCGAAGTCTTCTAAAGGTTAGTGTGTTACCTTGCTTGTGGTTGGACAGGTTGCTGTTGTCACTGTAGCTTTTCCAGCTACTCCTCTTCTTCTGGCAAGGGCTCGCATTTGCATATCTGCTTCACATACGAAGGATGACCTCCTTAAAGCCTTAGAGGTCAGCTTTTACTTCACTTACTATAGTTTTGTACTTCACCACTTTTACCAAAGTTGATTCTTCTGTTTTTCATCTTCTATATCTCAGTCGAACAAAATGGCGAACTGTACAATGTACTATGCCTACATGATTTTAAAGTGTCATCATAATGAAGAATAAATGAAGCTATTTACTTGGCTTGCTCTACTTTAGTTTGTTAAGAAAACTATACTACGGTAGGAAATTAGTGAGAAACTATTTACAAGTTGATAAAAATAAGCCTATTCTACCATTAAAACTGTTTACAGCTGCCATATCGGCTTTTGATTAAATGAAAGTTTTTAAATTGTTTGTTGTGAATGATTATCATTGTTTCTTGGTTGAGAACATTGTTCATTCGATTCCCATCTAATATACTACGATGTATTATGTCTGCATGAGGTATTTGGTTTTCTTACATCCCTGCTTTCCCCATATTTTTTTGGACGCATACGACCTCAAGGTTCAGAAAGGCGAAGAACTAGAAAAGTTTAAATCATGTTGTAGGCATCATGTTCCTAAGATCCTGTATTTGGACCAAGGCTGCAATTTTCTGTCAAAATCGGAGGAGGATGTGGAATTGTGTTATGTTGACTTTTCTGCGTCTGATGTTATTTTGGTCAGTTGAATTGTGGAAGGTTACCATAAATAATGACCGCAGTTTTCCCCCATTGTTTGACAGGTTATCAGTCGAGTTGGTGATTTGGTTGGTATAAAATACTTCCCCGCAGAGGCCCAGAAGCCGGAGTTCGAAAAAGATGCTCATAAGATGGATTAGAATGTAAACGGAGTTGAAAATAAATTGTTTTTATGTCTGATAAACGATGGTAGAAGGAGCTTGCTGTCAAGGCATCTCCTCACATACATAGCAGAGTAAGGGGGAGGGGGAAGGAAGACAATTGGTTGTGCATAGTGGAAAATTTTCGAATCTGTACCTCCTTGTACCATACCATACCACAAGTGACATGCGATCTTCATAAATTTTGGCATATTAATGCACGGGTATTGTTGTGATTTTAGTCCGTTCCAATCGATTTAGATTTTTGTCTTTTGGTCCTTGTGATTGTTTTTGTGTTCTCACATACGGTTACCTTCATTTTTCCTTTCCCCACTTCCCTTCTTTAACGAGGGAGAACGATCTTCAACATCATAAATTCTATCCTCGGGGCTTAGGATGCCTCCTATCTGCTTCAGCAACCACACAATCAATCAGATTAGCAACAATTTTTGTTAGGTTCTCGTCGGTCACTAAAATCTTGGCAGAAATTTTGTATTTCCTTAATTCAATCATAAAGACAAAGTCGAGAATATCAAATATGCTTCAATCATAGGAGTCACATTGAAATAACTATGAAGAACAAAAATAAGATTGAAGGCTACCGATATTCATGTGGAACGAATTTTGGTTCGGAACAAAATACAGAAAAATTAAGGGTCGGTTAAAACTAGAATACAAGATGCACGACAGCAAGGAGGAATTTCCCTCCAGGGATTTGGCTTTCAATTTTGAAGCAAACTACTAGAGATCTTCAAAATGAAGTATAAATTGTAGCTCTACACTTGGTCATCTCTCTGGGAAAGGGAGACTACCTTGGCGAGTAGCATTCCTTGGAGAACAAAATGCAGAACAAACCCAGGACCCACCACACTTGTGATCACAGTTACACCATCAGGCGTCCAGTTCCCAGAATGCAGAATCTTTCCCATGTAAGACCCCAAGAGACGTTATTAAGAAATCAGAATGGTGAAAACAGTATACTACAGCCAGTGGAAACAGTAGAGTCGCATCCCAGAATATGCGGCCAGACATGGTTTATTTTTGCTTCTTTTCGTGTCTTGTAGCAACACTCTTACTTCACTCAGCATATGAAAGACTATGGGGGAAAATCGCAGTAATCAGAAATATGAAAGACTACCAAAACAACCTATAATGCAGGCAGTAGCAATGAGGCTCAAAAATGAGTTCAGGCATACATTGCCATGGCTGAAATTTGGGATACATACATTCCTCATGAAAATCCCTTCCCCAACTTCTGGATTGCGGAGTACATTTTTCTCCGGGACCCAACTGCAGTTATTCCCATATCCTTGAGATCCTCGAGTGTCAACATTGGCAACACCTCATCGTCCACCTCGTGAATTTCAAAAACTGGAGCATACCGACCTAACCCTAAGCCGTTGAGCCAAACTCTAACCCCATCTACTCCTCTCCCACCATTCCCATTCCTATCACCGCTAGTCCCGCATTTCCAATTCCTGGCATCCGTATCCGAAGGCCCTGAAAACTCGAGCCCATCTTGGTGCTCTCTACCCTCCGAAACCCTAGACCGGGTACATCTTCTATTCCCCTGATAAAGCATCTCCCTTTCCTTCCCCTCACCTTCTATCGCCAAATTCTCAAGCGAATGCATTGAGCTTTGTTCTTTCAGGGGACTTTCCGAGTTCTCAACGTCGTAATCCCGATACCCCTCCTCCACGTCTTCGCCGGCGCTATACTTTTCATCTGCCTCCCCCCCTCCACCGCCTTCGTCGTGCTTGGGGGATACCCAATTAGTTCTGACCCTCTTGGTGGCGGCTGAGCCTCTCCGCTTGGAATCCTTCAATCTCCAGCTCCCAATTGCAACGCTATCCAAATTGTTCTCTTTGTCTTCGCCCTCTGGGGTCTCGCGAAACTCGGCCCCCCCACCCCCCGCCGAACTCAAGTTGGTCAAGGGCCGAGTTTTGGAGTTCTTGGCAGAGGCAGCGGATGAATCCTTGCGATTATCCGAGGCAAACTTCCAGGGCTTATTGGTGCGGCGGGCATAGGAATCGTAGGGTTGGTCGCCGCCGATATCCCCCAATCGGACGCTGGGTCTTCGCTGGCGTTTGGATCCAACAGTTTCGGAGGAGACGACGGGAGGGGCAGGGGCGCCGTTAGTCTGGGGGTCGGGGGGTTGAATATCGGCCATTAAATGAGAAACATAGAAGGGGGTTAATTTGAGCGTGTTAAAAGTGAGGACTTGGAAGGAATGCAAGCGTGGAAAGGGGGAGAAAAGGCTGAAACGAGGATGGGTGGCTGAAGCCTTGGAGATTGGGAGAAAGAAAACGAGAAATGAAGAGGAAATGGAAGGAGGAGGGAGGTGGAGAGCGGGGGAGTGTAGGAATAGGAAGGGTCGGAAGGGGGGAAGAAGGGGGGAAATGAAATGGGTTGGTTGGAGGCATCAGCCATGTAAATCTGGGAGTTTGCCGCGTGTCTCCTTACCTTGCTTCACGATTGGATTTGGCCCCTTGGGGTTGGGCCTCCTCCTCTCCTTTCCTCTCCTCTTCCTCTCATTTCATTTGTTCAAACATCAAATTTAGTCCCCTCCGAATATGCTTCAGTATGTTCTCTTTTCATACACCCACCTCACTAGAGACACATTGGGGAGAAGGGTGGCGTGGTGTGGTTCTGTTTGGTTTTGAGTGGATATGGGCAGTGAGTCCATGTTCATAATTGGGCCATGAAATTGAAATGGATCCATCCGTATGGCTGTACTTAAATTGCTTAGCTTTTTAAGAGTAAGACTGATATCCAATATGGGTATAATTAGATTAGAGGTCAATTTGCCTAAACGGAGAATGGTTTTGAGGATAATGTAGGAGAGATAGAATAGCAGGTAGATTAGATGATATATTGATTAATCTAATTTGGAAGTAGTTTCGGATTAAATGATGGTGACACAAGTTTTGTGTGGGGATGAGTCACATCGAGCTGCTTCATTGGGTGTGCTTCAAATCACACCAACAAATTATATATATATATCCAATGGGAAGCTTTTTGGGAAGAAGTGATTGGCAATGGCAAGGCAGCTATGAGTGGATGTATCTGCATATCTCATTTGGCAAGGGCGGTCCACATGGGCATATCCACCACGCCACAGCCTCCACGCATACCACCATTGCCCAGTCCAATCATATGCAACTGCATGCATAAAGTTGGGCCATCTTGATTAAGGGCGAAGTTTCTAGCTTCAAACCAGATCAAACCATCGTCCTTCACACGTTGCCTAGTTCTGTGTCACCCTCCAAACTTTTCAACCATGCACCACTATGATCTTACCATCAACTTGGCTACCCTAAAAGCCGTACTCTAACCTCTAAATTCCTTTTCTAGAGGCTTTTTTTTTTATTTCGTCAAACCTTTGGTAAGGCTTTTCCTTTTGCTTCGTGACTTATTTTGAATGGAGAGATTCCACGTTGATTGGAGAAGAAAATGTATAAAATATATGATAAAAGGATTCCATGAAATGTCACTCTCACATGGCAAGGGGGAGGGATCACTTGTTGGCATGGAGCACACGTTTGAACTCTCTCTCATAGTAAGTGTTGCACACAAGTACATATTTTAAACCGGACATATAGAAATTTGTGTTTGGTGTATTCAAATTAATTTTACTCTCAACATTATATTGTATGGCTTCAAAAAGCGAAATTGAAGGCTTGGGATGAAATAGATGGAATTGAATGAATGAGGGGTTAAATCATGTGAACCACAAGGGAGGCTTAGGCAACCTTTTTGTTTTCGTCGTGTATTGTAATGAAGGGGAAGCGTGGCAATGGGGTTTGGTGAATGAAGTTTAGTAGAAGTCTAATCAAAGAAAATGGCAGAGGTGTCATACAGAAAGGGCCATCTTTTGTGGGAGTTGTCTAATCAAATGCTTTTGGTAAATGGGAGGAAGCCCCGAGAGAGTGAAGACTTTTTGATAAGCTCTGGTGTGCAGTGGAGGAGGAAGAAATTAGAAGAATGAACAGCAGAAACAAGAACAGGAAGTTGGATGCATGGTTGGAGGACACGTGGGAGTTACTCACTATTACATTACATTCCATTTACTCGGCCAAATTGTCTCATCTTCCTACCCTCCTGACATGGTGGGCTAACCCATGTCGCGCACGCCCATTCATCTGCCACTCGGAAGTTGGAGGACTGTGGCGGGGCTCTGCTCAACTCCAGACTTGGGAGCTTTTCTTTTCATCGCATCGCAATAATATTTCTTTTATTACATACACCCGGAGGCCACACCCAACAGTGCATTCTGCAGCCCACAACACAAGATGCTACCTTTGTCATTTCATCTACAGTTTCTAAACATCCAAAAGATGCCATCTTTATTTACGACCTGACACGACTACAATCTTTTAATTTATACCCAACAAACGCAATCAAATTCTGCGGTCCTTTTATAATTCATCCTTTTGCATTAGTCCGCATGTATCTATCTGTTAGCTGATGCTGCATCCCACTTTTTGATATCATAATTAATCCTCAATCTCTTTCAATTTCATAATTATTGACCATGTATGTCCGCGGTTAATTCATCAGACACTATATATTATATCCATCCCTTGCCATTATTATATCATCAGGACACGAGTAGAGGCAATTAAGACAAGAAAGTAGAGGAGAAATTGTTGGTTAAAACCACCCATATGATTGATTACAGATAAAAGGTAGTCCCACAATACACACTTTTCCCTGCGCCACAAAATTTGGCTTCCAACCCAAGGATAAGACTTACACATATTCACAATAATTAATGTGATGTATCCAGTATGAAGATGAGTTCTGTTAACATAGAACCACCCACTCATCTCCACTCAAATTTAATTATCATCTCTTTCACTTTCTGTTTTGTGAGTAAATTAGTAAATCATGACAGATGATGCAGAGAAGCATTCCCATAATCCAGGAAAAGTTGAGATGGATTCATGTCCACTGGGATAAAGCTGCCGTTTTCAGCCGTTAAGATTGGGCTGTCACCACCGCCACCGCCACCGCCTGTGGCCTGAAATGTGTTGCATGACGCCATATTATATGCCAATTCTGCCTGCTCTGAACGTGATACCATGCCACTCCCATTCAATACCTGTGTGACTGGCGTACCGATGAATACCTCTGGATTATCCATTCCAAAGTCATAGCGGATGGGGTGAACAGAAGCAAGCTCCATGGACAGAAGCTGCAAAGTATTTAATGAGTTGTGAAGAAAAATGCATGAATTAGCGCCCATTCATGATGCTAATTGGGTTTATTTAATTTGACATATGTACCTCAATTTGACTTTGCAGGGACTGAACATAGTTAATAATTTCGTCGAGCATAAGGGCCTTCCCAGTTACCTATGGTGGCATATATATATATATATATGGTTTGATCAAGGAGAGTGATTGGGTAGAAGAAAGCAAGAGGTAATAATAGTAGGCGGACGAACCTTGTGGCAGCCTGGAACAAGCGTCTGCAGAACCTTCATCCTTTGGCTGATTTTCTGTCTTCTCACCTGGAACTCCAATTAGTAATTAATTAAGAGTTAAAAGAGAGGAATTGAGGTAATATGGATATATATGATGATTACCCTTTCTGCAAGGCTGTGGCGGTCTGTGGCCTGACCCCTCCTGGCTCTTACGTGGATGTACCCTGGTGGTGGAGAAACTTGAGGGTGGTCTTGGGTTTTGAGCTTCTTGCGGCCTCCTCCTGCTTTTGCAGGCTTGTAGGCTCTCCTCTTGCCGTCGCCCCCTCTTTCATTTGGGTCCTCCTTCTGGTAATGGGAATAAGCAGAGGTTAAATTAGAAGCACTTAATATATAATGCATACCATAAAACACAAGTCAGAGGGAGAGTACATACGCACGGAGAGAGGGAGTGGGAAGAAGGCAATGTGTTGGTGGCGGTGGGTAATATGCGAGGCGGGAGGTGGTGGGCAGTTTGCTGAACCGAGGAAGATTGGATTTGAGGTGGAAGAAGGTGGTGGAAGTGGGGGATTTGTGGCGCTTCTTCTAACTCCCAGCTACATGGGTTCATTTTTGAGAGCGCAAAGGAGTCGGGAGAGGGGAGGAATTGGGAGTTGTTCATAATAACATGCGGACAACCCTCACAGTGATATCCAATATGGACAACCCTCACACCGCACCTTGGTTTATATAATAAAAGCCTAAACGCCAACCGAAGCCCCACTTCCAATTACGTTCACATACACCTACGCTCTTCAATCATGCATAATCTTTCCTTACTCTATTTTCTTTCTTTTATTTACATTTCACTCCTCCATCTTCTTTTTTATTTCTCTCTCACCCCCTTCTCCACATTTTCACTTTTGCAAATCTACCAATTATTTATTTTATTTTATTAATTTAGCCCCCCTAGTTAGTCGCCCCAATTGAGGTAGAGCCTAGAAAAGAATGCGGCCCAGGCCCAGGCCCAGGCCCATGTCTCCAATTTCCCTCTCCTTTCGGCTTTCACTGTTCTGTCCGGCTATAACCAACGCTTCTCACTTCGCGCGGGTTTAATTTTAACTTCCTCCAATCCTATTTGGAGATGGGCATATCGGGATTACTTGGCATGATGTCTTGCAGACCTTATCTCCCTCGACGGACACCACTCTTCCGTTTCCTCCGCAAGGTAATTCTGCTCCTATTGCCATTTCCTTTGCTTTCTCTTCCCTTCCCTCTTTCACCTAATTCATTCACCTTATTTACTTCAGCTTCGTCCCACTTCCATTGCAGTGGGGGAGGCAGCAGCTCCTCAAACAGATACCTTCTTCAACGGCCACACCGATTCTCCGCCTCCCCCAAGGAAATTTCAAGGGTTTTTCCTCCTACTTTCTAACTACTTTTAAGTTTCATAACTGGCTTCTTCTTGTTTCTGATAATATGAAACTAGGCCTCTGTTTCATTCTTAATTTTTTTTGACAAAAAAAAAAAAAACTGTTATTTTGCTGAAGAATTCCATGATAATGATTCTAAGCTGCGGAAGTGGAAGACGTTTTCTTCCAAGGAGCTTGGGATTGATATTTTCATGATTCCCAAACCTACCAGAAAAGTTCTGAACGGGCTCAAGAAAAAAGGTTACCCTACGTTGTCTCCTTCATTTACAAACGTCTCCTCTCACATCAAATAGTAAATAAACATTTAGTGTCATCTTCAAAATCTTAGCCTTTATCACCTTCTTCATGCACTTCTAGTATTTTGTAACTTTTGTAATTAATCCTGTGATTATTGTTTCACGTTCTAGGTTACGAAGTTTACCTTGTAGGAGGTTGTGTTCGCGATCTTATCTTGAACAGAACACCAAAGGATTTTGACATAATAACTTCAGCTGAGCTTAAGGAGGTTTGTCTCCAACCATCTCCTTCAAAATATTTGTATTACTTATATCGCTACCGAGGAAACTTTATTATCTATCATAAATACATAGAGTTGTGAGAAGAGACACATACACATGATAAATTAGTTTTCTCATATATATATTTTTTTTTTGATGATTAAAGAAGAATAGAAAGGAAACCCGTTAGATTAAAAAAGAATACTATTGGAAATCAGATTGCGAGTTGAAATTTCTACCATCTATCCTTACGAGACACTTCTCATTTCAATTCTTTATGCCGGAATGGTCAAGTGTGTTTTGTAGAATATGACGAGGCAGATTACTGGAAATTGGATGCTGAATATGTCCTTTATGTTTGGCAAAGATTATAATGTAAATTACATAAATCTCCGTGGAAAAAGGCCTCAATATCTTGGAACCTTTTTTGGGGGTCAAAAGCTCGATGAATATACATTGCAAGTTTCAGGTTCAACAGGGACTACTGACACTGTGAAGCCTCAGTTTTGCCTGTTTTCTCAATTTTAGTTATAAGTACTTTATATATATAATTTAAGGTTCGGCCCCTCATTTTTAACATATATTATATCGTACCATTTTAAGGTTTCAAGAACATTTTCATGGTGTGAAATAGTTGGGATGAAGTTTCCTATATGCCATGTGCATATTGATGGTAGCATTGTAGAGGTTCGTTTCTCTTCCTATCAATAAATGATTGGTACCTTTGACCATATGTAGTTGTTTCTGGTAGATATTACATCAATTTGATATTTTATGATTTCGTGTTTTAATAACGAGCTTTTACTTTCTTTAAAATATTAGGTGTCAAGTTTTAGTACATCCAGTAGGCCATTTGACAGACACTTGGACTCTGCTATTGAAAAACCAATGAACTGTGAAGAGGAAGATTATGTCCGATGGAAGAATTGCCTGCAACGTGACTTTACTATTAACGGGTGGCTTACGAGATTCTGCATCTTGAGAATCCATGTTCCTATCTCTATTATACAATTGTAATATTTTTTAAATAGTAGGTTTTCTGGTAAATGAAAATTTATAATTCTTGGGTCCCCCTCCAAACACATGCAGAAGAAAAAAAAAACGGCCGCTTTCACCCTTTGGTTCTCAACTAATAGTCAACTTCTTGCAGGCTGATGTATGATCCATACAACAGTGCAGTATACGACTACTTGGAAGGAATGGAGGATATAAAACAAGCTAAAGTATGCACACATTTCTCTCAAGTTATTAAATAAATACTGAAAGCCACACTAGATGATATTGTAAACTTCTTTTGTACGACCTTCTGGGAGCATAGATACGAACAGTGGTTCCTGCCTGCACTTCCTTTCAAGAGGATTGTGGTGAGTTTTCATTTGCAGAACTCCCTTATCGTATGTTGACTAGAGCATTGAGCTGAATGTATTGTTGAGAAACTTAAGTGAGCTTAAGCAGCGCATATGTACCCATAAAGCAATACTACTAACTCCATCTAGTTTGGCAGCACGAATCCTTCGAGCAATCAGAGTTGCAGCTCGTTTACGGTTCAATTTTGCGAAGGATACTGCTGGTTCTATTAAAAAATTATCCTGCCTGGTGTCTACCCTCAATAAGGTTTTTAGATTAACATGATATTTCCTTCCTAATGTTTCTTTGGATTTTAATATTCTTGAACGAGAATTCTAATTGATTTTCTTTCCTTAAAATATCAGGCAAGGCTTCAGATGGAAATGAACTATTTGTTGTCTTATGGTTCTGCTGAAGCTTCTTTGAGGTTGTTATGGAAATATGGACTTCTAGAAATACTTCTTCCAATTCAGGTGAATTGACGCTTGACTTTTTCCCCAGTTATGGGTTACAAATAAGTGAGACAGTTTGATATTGTAGGCAGCATATTTCATCCAATATGGTTTTCGGAGGTCCGACAAGGGATCAAATATGCTTTTGGTAATTGTCTCTTTCCTATTCTTACTATTACTGTCTTTTGGGTGCTTATCAGAATTTATTTTCTTTCAAGTTTTTCCTAATGTACGTGGAAGACCGAACTTATTTTTCACTTGGTACTGCATAAGACTTGGTAGTTTGCTAATCTCATGAAAAGTTGCATGTAATATATATATATATATTGTATATTATATAGTATAGTAGAAGATCAATATAATGTATGCAGTGTGGGTGGTTTTCCACAACTTTGTTATCTGAAATGTGGAAGGAAAAATTATTCATGGTTTGTTCTTCTAATGGTTAGTTGCACGTTGTGTGCTTTGAAAAAAAAAAATGTTTCTGGTAGATTTAAAGCTTTTGAATTACTTAGTTTCCTTTACTTTCTTTCGTTCACCGTCCCCAGTCCCCACTTCCCCAAGCCCTAAATAGCTCAAGAGTAAGTTATCTTGAATGCTTTCGGTATATTTTTCCTTGTCCTTTGAAATTATTCTGGAGTATACAAAGTATAAATCCCTTGGTGATGTATGCTGAATCATGCATGGAGTAAAGCTTTTGAAAAGTAAGAATAGGACATCGATTATGTCAAATTGATGATTTTCCTACCTGATTATGAATTGATGACACAATTGGTCCATGGCAATTACTTGTTATTAACTAACATTGTTAGTATGCAGTCCCTATTTTCCAGCATGGATAAACTTCTGGCACCTAATAGACCTTGTCACAGTAGTTTATGGTAAGATTGTTGTTGAGAACTAAAATCTACTGTTGTACTGTTGCTATCTATAATTATCGTCAGGGTTCAACATGGTGTCAGGATGTAGTGTAAACTACTCGTGTCTGATCTACAAAATTGGAATGTACCAATGCCAGTGAAGAGTGCTTAAAAAATAGGTTTAATATGTTATTGAAATGTAAAATTATATCTCTAGGTTACCCTAGAAGAGAGCTGAAATATTTTTTCCCCTTGAGTTATTGGTTGAATTTCAAAGTTGCGGTAAAGATGGTGGTGGAGTTTTGGAGGTGATTAGATTTAATACCTCGGTTTGGGCCATGGTGTCTAAGGCCTTCTGTAATGATTAGATTGGCCTTGTTCTCTTGGACGAGAGTCAGTTTTTTGGTTATTTGAGCTTCTTTTTTTTTTTTCATTTTGGTATGTGTTTTCGTAGTTGATAATATTTCTCAATGAAACCACGGTTTTTTATTTTTCTTAGAAAAAGATGACCGTTGTTTAGTTTTTGGCTTAAAGCTGAAACCTGCTGTTGGTCTGATCCTGTAAATTGTTCGGTGAACCATGATTCAAACTTGTTAATTAATATTTCGTTTATGAGCAGTGATAGTACTTGTTTTCCGAACTTTGTTCTCTCTTTTGCAGTGAAGCAGTCTCAAACACTGTTTTCTCTTACAGGGTTGCAGTATTAGCCTTCCATGTTGCCCTGTCTGACCAGCCTAGGAGTCCTTTAGTGGTTGCAGCATTTAGTCTTGCAGTCCACAATGGTGGCAATATGATGGAAGCAATTAGCATTGCTAAGAGCATCGGTAGAGCACATAATGTAAACTTTCACGAATTGTTAGAACCTGAGAATCTGGAGGTCCAAACTTTGATTGATGAGGTTATGGATCTTACTACGTCTATTAAGAACGCACTTCATAAGATGACCGACGAGCATTCTGTGTCTCTAGTCTTGGAAATGTATCCCCAAGCACCAGCCTCGTATCTAGTAATCTTTCTTCATTTTAATCTCTTGTACTTTTCAAAATAAAAAAGGTTGTTGCCAATTGTCTATACATTCAAAGTCAATTATAATTTTAGGTTCTAGAGAATATCAAGCTTATAGTAATCTACCCTACTCTTTCTCCTGTAATATAAATTATAGGATCCAAGTTTTTTTTTTTCCTACGACATATATTGCCTGTGGAATCATATGCTAAAAAGTTCACATATTGCAGGTTTTTATCCCATTGGTGGTGTACTTGAAGGTACGCAAAATTTTTGAGTGCGTTGTTGAGGGTGCAGAGGGAGTATTTGTTCCGAAGAGAGGAAAGGTTAATTACAAGTGTCTGGCTCTCGGGGACCTACCAGAACTTCGGCATGTTTTTGCAAGGATTGTATTTGATACTGTCTACCCTCTTGATCTCAATCATACTCGAGAATAAATTTTCAAGATAATTAGTAAATGGTGACTTTTGGGTCCTTTACTACAGGTATCTGACTTCTTAAGCATTGAGTATGTTTTGTACGCGGCCTGAGGTCAGGTTCATTGGATCATCTATTGAATCTCGTAGAAGTTCAGATTTTTGTAATCTTTAATCCGGTATTCTAGTAATACAGAAAGAAAAGGGAATGATGCGAATCCTACATAATCTTTAGTATTCTCTTATTTATTACCTGTGTCTACTATTTAGGCAGAATACCATCACCCATTCTTACTAAGAAATTGAAAGAAACGGGGGGACTAAACAGGAACAAGAGGGATCCACCGAAGAAGATACTTCTTCTTCCCTTTTTTCGGAAGAAAAGGAGGATCCGGACAAAATCGATGAAACGGAAGAGATCGAGTGAATGGAAAGGGGAAAGGAAAAAACAAAGGATGAATTCCACTTTAAAAGGACACGCTATCAAAAAATAAAAAGACCTTCTTTAGCGTCAAAAACCTCAATTTTATGGTCCTAAGTAGAATTAGAATGATTTCCAAGTCTTTGGAGTTACAGGCATCCGCATTTTTTGGCAATTAGGTGACGCAAACCGTCCCACGCCTTCACTTGTTAGCGGCAGGAGAAGGAGCAGCTCCACCCGTTGTTGGCCTACAAGATAAAGTAAAGTCATATTAGTTATTTGCAACTGTGGAGCTCGGAGAGGAGTGCTCGAAAGATCAAGCCAAAAGCGCGTACAGTCCAACGAAAACTTTGAATGCGTCATATATTCCCCATTGAGATCCGGTAAGAGTTCCAATCATAACAATCCGAAGCGGAAGGCCTCGAGTGAACAGACCCCATAAACCCAGCTGCCTCACAGCCTGCAAAATCAAAGTACCGAATTAGAAATCTATATGAACGTGTTCATCTTATTTTAGGCACCATACTCACATCCCCGGCGGTTGCGCCCTTTGCGTTGTTGAGAAAAGAGACGAGATTATCAGCCGGGTGTGAGACAACGGCACAGAGGACGCCGGCCACATATCCACCGGCAAAGCTCACTCCAAGCTGCAGAGATTTGCTACACTGTTCTTTTGGCCTTGGGATGGCATACTTGTACAGCATCTCTACAATTGTTTCGAAAGAAGCAAATTTCATCATGGTATCTGCAAAACCCACCCCAAATTTATCTTGTAAATCATTATTCTGTTTTTAGTAACGATGTCATTTTTCCTATTTGCAGATACATACAATAGTTAAAACTTAAACGTGGGATTTTGATGCTTTAACTTACACGGAATCTGACGTCCCCAAAGAGGAACCAGACCTTTATAGAGCCTGTAAAAGAAGACAACCAGAGACTTCGAAGTTATTAGGAGGAAAAAAAAAAGTTTATGTTGATGGTGTATCTGCATTATATAATTAGTTTCATACCCAAGAACACCCTCAGACTTGACAAACTTTGGGAGCCCATCTGACAACCCCCGAGCAAAACCAGGTTGCGTTTGGACGCGAACTTTGACGGCCTCCATGGGGCAGAGAGCGACATCGGCAATTACTTCTGCAGATGCTGAGCCAGCAAGGTATATGAAAGTTTTGTACTTGGCTGCATTCTCTGCTCCAACTATATCAGAATAGTACTTCTTGAAGAACTCGTAAAATCCAAACTTGCACGCCCCCTGAGCACTGTAACCAAGCAACGTTGGCACCCAACCCCGGAAGAACCCTCTCACTCCCTGCTCCTTTAGCAGAATTCCAAAACCAGACGAGATGTTCTTGTACTTTGCAGGGTCGATCTAAAATTTGGGGTGTGGCCAAAAGAGAGCTATTTTAATTATAACTGTTTTGTGGGTTGTGGGACAGGTATTCGTGTTCTGTATTGTCTTAATTATTCATTTCTTTTATATTACTATGTTAATCCATTTCTTTTATGCATACTTAGTTTCGAAACTACTTGTTTATTTTAATTTTAATTATTGGTTTAACACTGCTCATTTGTAGACATAAAATGGCGTTGCCTTAAAGGTGGGAAGGAAGACTTGGATATTTAACATCGATATTCAGAGTTTACCTGCATATTGCACTTGACGAGGTCGAGGGGGGTGACAGTCATGTGGGTGAGTCCACAACTCAAAATGCCGCCTACTGTACAAGCGGCGTAGAAGGGCGGCGAATACATCTTTATCTTCTCTTTCGGAGCTTCAATTGGGAAGCTCCTGCCGTAACTCCATGCCGGCGTTGTCCTAACCACTGTTTGGGAAATCCCCCAATTAGCAGAATACACAAAGCTTGGCACCAGAGGTTGTCGTTGCCCATCTTTCGACAGAGCCATTAAAGTTGCCTTCTTGCTTCCAGGTAACTCTTAATTACTCCTATCCCCCTTCTTCTTCTTCTTCCCTACACTGATCTCTCTCACTAAGACACAATAAATATGGATCTTGCTATAAAAACGGCCCCCAAATTGGAGTCTGTGCGGTGATTTTGATTATGTTCGCACATAATGAGCTTATATATAATCAATGGCAGCGGAAATTGTTATTTAGAAGAAAAAAGATCGAGAATTTCTCATGGCTTTCCCTGTTTTGCGCGCTCTTTATAGGCATTGGCTGTTAGGCATCTGGACATCCCTCAAACACGAACCAACACACGTAACTTAAAACCTGGATTTAATTTATGGAGGACGTGTGGCCACTGGCAAGGCAGTGAAGGCCTGAAAAAATGTCATTCATAGATCATAATTCAGACTAGCCATAATCAGTCTCTTCATGATTCCTTTTAAGTTAAAAATGCTCAATTTGTATCAATATCAACCAAAGAAAGAAAAGAAAAAAAGGCTTGGCTATTTAAAAAATTTGTGGGTCCAAGGCATTCTAGTGTCGCATAATAGACTGAGCAGACAAATTCTGAAATTGTTAATTATACTTTTAGTCCTTCAGGTGTTCATCATTTTTAAAAATAAAATAAATAATCGAAGTATCAAAAACAAGTACAGATTTTTTAATATACATCAAGACAATCATATATGATGAATGTATTATCGAAGAATTTGTTTGAGGTGTGTGAGTGTGTCAGATTGGGGGCAGTGTGTAGATAGGATTTGATAAAATGGATTGAGGGAGCGGCAACGTCCGCCACTCGTTCCTCATTTCCATTTTCCACAGTTTAAAGAGCTCCAACCAACAAGACTACTTTATCCAATCCCTTCCCCCAACTCCTTTTGTTCTGGTCTTGAAGTTTATTATACTGTATTCCCTCGTATTCCATCAAACTCTCTCTAATGGCAATGGCTTCCTTTTCATCTACTTGCCTCAGATTCCGCATACCTCTCAACCAAGCTGCCAAGACCAACCAGAACCAGGTATTCTCTGGACATCCCACTCCACTGCATATTTATTGCATTCTATGTACAGTTCCCTAAGTGAAATTGATATTATTGTATGCTGCTTCTGGCAGTGTCAGGTTCTCAGAAGAAGCTCCGCCGGGGCCGGTGGATTGCTCAAGAGTAATGGTTTCCATCTTGTCACTCACAGAACCTCCCAATCCCACCTGCGTGTCTCTTGTGCGGTAATTTCGGCATTTTCATTTGCTAATTAACTCACTTTGCTGTTACCTTTTGTTTGTTGTGTGAATTGGGTTTGAAAGTTAATTGGTAAATTTATGAAATGGAATGGACAGGCAAAACCAGAAACAGTTGATAAGGTGTGTTCAATTGTGAGGAAACAATTGGCTTTGCCTGAAAGCTCAGAGCTCACCCCTGAATCCAAGTTCTCAGCTCTTGGTGCCGACTCCCTCGACACAGTACGCCTTTTCCATAACCTTCCCCAAACAAAACATCACACTAATCTTCTTCATACTTCTGTTTCCCTTATTATATATAATTACGGTTCTGTTCATTGCCCCATTTGACAAAATCAAATATAATGTTGGCATGGCCACAGGTGGAGATTATTATGACCTTGGAGGAAGAATTTAGCATCAATATCGAAGAGGATAACGCTCAGAACATAACGACAGTACAAGAAGCTGCCGATTTGATTGAGGACCTTGTTGTTAAGCAGCAATCTTAACTCTTAAGCTACCAAAGACTAGCTTTTGGTAAGTTAAAGTTGTATTATTCCGAGAGGCAGATGATAAGAGTTGGGTTGAGTAGGCAGGATGTTATTTTTTCACCTTGAATGATTTTTTAAAGCAAATTAATGTACTTGTACTCGTGGAATTTATGAACAAAAACCATTTTCGATTTGTTTTTCAATCTGTACAAGTTCAACTTGTTAGCTTGAAATTAATGCAATATGAAGCATAGTGTCGTGTTGCTTTCTTCTCCCAAACTGAGGGGCTGGATCAATCTATTTCATGGATTGCAGCGGTGGAAACCAGAGTACTAGTAACTCAAGCTTTTGAAAGCATCAAATTTCTTCTAAAAGTGAAGTAGTTGACATTTCTCCCTGGAAAGGAAAAAGGCAATGGAAGGAGAGGGGTTTTATTAACCCATTTCAATCATTTGAGTTTTATTAACCCTCTTGAACTTCTTTTGCTAGGCAGGGGCTGCCCAAATGTGGGTGTCGTCCACAAAAAGAACTCAGCTTTCAATTAAATCCACAGGTAACAAGGCACTACCACTTCCAACAAAGTGGTTGTAGGTATGCCGTTCCTAAAATTCACATGATGGGATCTTAGGGGTTAATAAATGGTGAAATAGAGAAATGTTTCTTTCTCGGGGGTCAAGCGAGTTGCATAATGGGAAGCATGGTTTTGACAATGATACCTACCCTCACTTCGTATTTTGGTTGTTGGCTTATTTGCATACTTCCATAATTTACGCAAAGCAGAGATACCCCACAAGCACCACCACCTTTTCAAGAGTGCTCCAAAGGCCTTCACATTGGGAAGTCTCCATCAATATAATCCCCAATTCAAATGAAAAAAAGCACGCTGAATATGATTTCACTTGGATCCTCCAGTTTTGCTGATTCATACCGAAGATGGTTTCATTTGAATCCTTGAGTCGATCTGCCTCATATGCTTAATCGAGCAAAAGAAATGCAGAGTCGGTACCTCACCTACTAAAGCTACAAATAGGCATGATATGAAACGCAGCGAGGGAGAGAAAGTGGCAAGAGGCCCCATTACCATTAGTAGTCATAAACTAAAATCAAGATTTGACAACGCATGATGGGGAACATGTGGTTCAAGCATCTGCGTTTGTGTGCAAATATTTAATCATGACAATATTTAGTTTGAGGGTCCTTTTGAAGCCTTCAAGATTATCTTATTTGAAGGACGATTTGGTGCTCCTGGACAAGATTATCTTATTTGAACAAGCAAAACCAATCGTCTCCTCTTAGAACTACAAGTAGCCCCTGAAATTCTGTCAAGACTCTGTCAGAAAATCATACCATACTTGAAATCAAATAGAAAGTGTTGAAACTTGTCTTACAAATAACTGTAGAACTGATCTCCGAGTTAGCTGTGTAAAACCACTTTACAATGTACGCCACAAGAATAATAATAACAAAAGAATGACAGACTCAAGCTGTGGATACATCTTATTTGTTGTTGTAAGGCAACAGAAGATAGAGAAGCATCATAGCAGTACTTTCAGGGCTCTGAATTCTGATAAAGCAGCCTTGTATTCTATTTGTTTCTTCATTTTCCAAAAAACAATCTTTTATGCTTTGAGTGTGTCCTACCAAATCATGCTCTTGGGCATCAACCCAAATGCAAAATGAATTAATTCTATTCTATATCAGGCCTGCCCAGTAACAAGGCTCAAGTATGATGGCGATTTTAAATATAAGATTGCCTGCTTATTTAGTGCCCCATTCATGCCCTCCCACATGTCTTTTTCTCCGCTGAGCAACATTTTAAAGACCACTTCCTCTACGTCCTTCTCTTTGTTGTCTCTCGTTGTCTAAACCATGCTTTCTCCAACAAGGAAGGCCTTGACAATGGCTGCTCTTATTCTTCATCTTTGCATTTACGAGGAGATTGTTCCCTCTTATGCTCAATCTGACAAGATTATCAGCCTTCCAGGGCAGCCCCCAGTGGGGTTTCATCAGTTTTCAGGTTATATTCATGTAGATGACCAAAAGCACAGAGCACTGTTTTACTACTTTGTTGAGGCAGAAACTGACCCTTCTTCGAAGCCTTTGGTTCTCTGGCTGAATGGAGGTGTGGTTGACAACTTTACTTAACTTCTTCAATATTACTAGTAATTCAAGGTCCATGGAACTTTGTCTCAACGGTTAGTGAGGATTTTCTTTTTTCTTTTTTTTTTTTAAAAAAATTTCTTGCAGGGCCTGGTTGTTCTTCCCTGGGAGTTGGGGCGTTCTCAGAAAATGGACCTTTTAGGCCAAACGGGGAGGTTTTAGTGAAAAATGAATACAGCTGGAACCGAGGTATCTGTTTCTCTATCAATTAGACCGTTTTGTTCATAGTTCTAGATGTTATATAGCTGCTGATCAGTAAAGGTAAGTGCAAATTCAATAATTTCAGTAGCAAACATGTTATACTTAGAGACACCAGCAGGAGTTGGGTTCTCTTATGCTCATGATAGCGCTTCTCATGGGACAATGGACGATGAGGCCACAGGTATTGTTGCATACCTTCTGTTCAAGGAAGATAAATATTGATTTGGCTATGAAATTACTGATGAAGGTGCCTATGTTGTAAGTATCTTTCTACTCTTTAAACACTTGGGACCGCCGCAAGCAGCTCGAGTTCTGTTAGTGGTAGAAAAGAAAACAAATCATGTTGCATTCTTGCCTTTTATTCTTGTTTCAAACTTATGTCTTCCCCTGTTGATAACTTCAGCAAAAGACAATCTCATATTCTTGCAAAGGTGGTTCAATAAGTTCCCTCATTACAAGCAAAGAGCTATATTTCTAACGGGGGAGAGTTATGCAGGTACTCAGACACACAAACGCATTTCTCTGTATTATCATCTTCTCTCTCCCTCTTCCAATCTTTCCCATAGTGGAAGCCATGAAAAAAAAACTGAATCTTTTTCCTAAATGTACCAGGTCATTACATTCCTCAACTGGCAAGGCTTATGACTGAATTGGACAGAAAGGAGAAGATATTTAATCTGAAGGGAATTGCTGTAAGTTTTGTGTTTATGTGGCGTGAAAAAAGAAAAGGAAAAAGCAAGTGGTTGGTAAGTAAAGTAAGGGTGGGTCATAATTGCAGCTAGGGAATCCGGTTTTAGAGTATGCCACAGACTTGAATTCAAGAGCGGAGTTCTTTTGGTCGCATGGATTGATATCAGACTCCACTTACACATTGTTCACTGCTGCTTGTAACTATTCCCGATACGTTAGTGAGTACTACAGAGACTCCATCTCAGGGGTTTGTTTGAGGGTGATGACCCAAGTCAACACAGAAACCAGTAAATTCGTGGACAAATATGACGTTACTCTTGATGTCTGTATTCCTTCAGTGCTCTCGCAGTCCAAGTATTTAAGCCCACAGGTACTAAATACTCTTTTCTTCTCTAAATAATAAATTTGTGGTGTTTAAGGATACTTAATTTGGCAGCATGTCCGAGAGAGGATAGATGTTTGCATTGAAGATGAAACCGTTAAATATCTGAACCGAGAGGATGTGAAAAAGGCTCTTCACGCCCGTCTTGTCGGAGTCCACAACTGGGCTGTCTGCAGCGAGTAATTCAACTGGGCTTTGACCTTGTATTACATTATTGTGTACACCATTCTCGTTTCTGACTCTTATTTGACATCACTGATGACACCAGAGCCCTGGACTACGAGCTTCTCAACCTGGAAATTCCTACCATTTCCATTGTTGGGTCACTTGTTAAAGCCGGCATACGGGTCTTGATTTACAGGTAGGTGTATGTACATTATCTTATCAAAACCATAAATCAGATGGATCTCTACGCAATACCTATTCTTTCTTATTTCATTTTCTGTTGCCAGTGGCGATCAGGATTCAGTAATCCCGTTGATGGGTAGTCGTCGGTTGGTTGATAGGTTGGCAACAGAGCTGGGTCTTAACACTAGTGTTCCATACGGTGCTTGGTTCCAGGGAAAGCAGGTAACCGCCCGCTATCTGTCCTGATTTCGAATTGCGCAATTCAATTGAGCATTTCCCCGTCTGTCTCAGGTCGCAGGTTGGACCCAAGTTTATGGTGGTATCCTTTCATTCGCGACCATTCGAGGTGCCTCTCATGAAGCACCATTCTCGCAACCTCAAAGGTCACTTCTGCTATTCAAGTCGTTTCTGGATAACAGGCCTCCACCCCAAGTTTTCTGATGCAGACTTAATGTAAAAGAGACGATCAAGCATTCTTGGCAATGAAAAACAGCCTCCCATTTGCAATTCACTACTTTCTCTAACTCTGATTCCTCTACATATAATGTTAATAATGTGCTAAACCAACTGATACTCGGGAAAACCTACAGACCCAAATCACATAAAGGTTCATTTCTCAGATGCCTTGCTAACCATCCTGGGAAGCACACTTCCTGGTTCTGCACCTTAAATAGTTTTACATAACCATAAAGGAAGTGTAGGTGAGCCTGATTTGTCCCACAATTTAGGACAATGTTGAGGGCGGTCGCTTAGAAACGTGTCTAACACTTCCTTCTCCCTGAATAAGCGAATCCAAAAGCACATCAATTGTCCAGTCCATGAAAGAACTGGTTAAACAAAATCTTCCAAGATATAATCACCCCAAAGTCAGTATTACACCCAAAGCCACATCCACAGGTACATAAACTAAGGTAAGGCGATGGGCAGTTCATATATGATCCAATGGCTATTCTGCTGAGTGTAAATAAACGCTCAATAAACAATTTGCCAGTGTTTTCGGAAAGTGGGTCGAAAAAATACATTTAATATTTAAATCAATAAAAAACAGCCTCGGGAAGAAAATGATGAAACAAATGATGTCAAGCCCCCGTCATCGAGCAAGCCACTCGATCTAAAAGACGCTATTCAGGTACAGGTATAAACCTACAAGTGCCACGATTCCCACTGCAGCGGCAATAGGCAGCACCTTCCTATACCGTTTTACGTGATATCAATCAGACTGAATGAACAATCATTAAAATCTATGATCATTTACAAAGAGTAGTTTGATTTTCCCTCTTACCCAATAGCTTCATCTTTCTGAATCTGCGCCTTTCTTGCCTTCCTCGCATCAAATTCGTTATCATTTTTAGTCACTGATTGCTCATAAGGTCTAAATCGTCGCTTAGGAGCACCACAGACTGCCAAGGCACGACAACTTGTATTAGATTTCAACTTCTTTATTGAAAGCAAATGCAAATGATTGGAAGTTGGTTTCGCTGACAGGAAGAGAACTTTATGTTCTAGAAGTTCTGTTTCTTTGGTTCTTGAAGATATCCTTTTTAAGTTCTCAGTTTAAAATAATAGCAGGAGCTTAATTGTGCTAAAAATGAACGCGACCCAACGTCAGTAAAGTAATTGGCCCGATTGACGAGGCAATTCAAGAAATTGGTTTGAACTGGTAGACACGAGGATTATACGAATTACGTTTGGAAAGAAGGTGGAAGAAGACAGAAGCAAATTACCAGGACAGAAATAGTTATCAGGCAATTTCTCAAAAGGAGTTCTATCGTTGTAAATGTACCTACATATTGGTCCAAAAGAGAGCTTTACAAAGATGGGGGAAATTAACATGTAAATTAGGCTCAAAAGCGGAATGGAAGGAGAGATACGGAGTGGTACCCGCAATCACGACAGATATAGGCTTGTTTGGAAGCGACGCGCAGGGAGAACTTGGGGGCAGCTGCAACAGCACACTTTTGCTTCCTTGTGGAGGGAATCTGAGGTAGGGGAGAGATGAAGGAGGATTTCAAAGATGAGCGGTTGGAGGCAGAGCCCCAAAGCATGGAGTCCCTATCAGCGCCGCCGTCTTCCTTAAATAAATGATCATCAATTATAACTGATAATTAAACTGAAGAAGAAAAGAATCAAGAGATGGAGGAAGGTGTCGAACACAGCAGGAAGAAGGAAAAGAGCAATGCAAGTGGAAGTGTAAATTAAGGTGTGAAGAAGAATGAGAGGAGAACCTGGTTAATCTTGGAATGTGGATTCGGCGGTAGGTGGAAGCTGAGAGAAGAAGCTGAAAAAGAAGCCATTGATGGTGAGGTAATAAGAAAGCTGAAAAGAGAGAGGAGGATGGGAAGCACCGAGCAGAGAGGTAAGCTGAGAGATGGAGGCGACAAAACAGAGAGAATGGGTCAAACTATGAGTGGCCGACAATCCATCAATCTTGCCAATCATTTTGATCCAATCCTCCTCTCTACACTCTCATGTCTCTGCAAACTTACACTACCATACATTTTTTACCCACTAATTCAAATCAAGAAATCTAAATTTATAGAAGTAATTAAACTTTAAAACCCTTTTTACTAACTATAGTTCAATTAACTAAAAACAACATATAGCAAAATATTAAAAATTTGAACAAAATCTATGTAACAAATTTTATTTGATTCTGAGTTGTTTTATTCTCTTTCTGTAACACCAAGGTACCGCATTTACCTTATGAACGTTCAAGTATACATTTGTTGTTTGTAATACACTCCCTCGACATATGTGTTTCGTGCAATTAAAAGTAAAGAAAAGGAATGCAGAAGCTTTGACTTGACCATAACAGTTACAGAGACTTTTTTTTTCCTATTAAAAAAAAATAATAATAAAACGCTGTATCAAATTTAACCGTGGTTAATAAAAAGATTCAACTCGGTTGTACCCTGCATTCAGAGACGAGGACCTGCGTTTAACCATCCGTCGTCCTTAACAATTAATAGTGTCTTGGAGATCCTAATAAATAAATCACAGTTTGCCTCAAAGATAAGGGAAGAACAAAAGGGTTGAAGGAGAACAAAAGAATCCATCGTTAAAACAAGGAGATCAAAATTGCAAATCTAATAAATACAAATAATAGTTTCTGTCGCCAAACCCCCGAATTGCATATTCCCACTCACCACTACCTAAGCTTTTCCACCACCTACTGGCGATTCAGTCACAATCAAATTACCTACTATCTCTATCCCGGTTCATAGCGACCTGATTGTTCTCTACATAAAATATCATGTAGGAGATCTACATGATCAAAATCAGATCAACACATAGAAACAAACTAATTTTTGAAATGTGTTACTAACCAACCATCCTTCAAAGCACATTTTCAGGAGTTGCGCCCAACAAAACAATTTTGCATGACCAGACACCAACTCAGATGAGTTTGAAAGTCTCCACATCTAGGAGAAGGCCCTTCGGAGAAGTCACTTGGAAGTAGAATCATGCCTCACACTTTCTTCCGCCCGAGTAAGTGCATTTGATAGCACATCAACCGTCCAGTCCTTCAAATCTTCCTGCATGAAACGATTGCCAAAGAAAGTACTTTTAAAAAATTATCACTCCCTGGTCAACCTGCCCCCAATCCACATGCCGCATACATCTATAGGTCTATAAAATTACATAGGATGTCGTCTCTTCTAACGACAAAAAATCATTTAAAAAATTTGAATGGCAACTGCAGAAGTTGAAAATTCAACCATATAACTTATAGAAACTGGAAAGTTTCTACAAAGTAGATCACACAAATCTGTAATAAGCATGGAAATGGGGAAGCACGTTATCATCATTAAGGGATGGGATAAAAGAAGGGAAATGTGGAGGCTTTCACATCAATTCCTATATGAGATCAGTGATACAACTGCCTTACCCTGTGTAAAGGTTCTCCAGTTCTGATTCTTGCATTTGGACGAGCAAGCTTGGATTCAAACGGAGTCCTTGGTCGAACCTCTCGCATTTCCTCCCACTCCTCCCGACTAAGCATCCTCACAGTTCCTTGACCTGCCGGAGAATTCTTTATTTTGCGTTCTATCAGCTCTTCAGATCTTGACTCATCATACTGAAAACAAGCACAGTCGCATATTAAAAGAGATAAATAAGATTTGCTTGAAATAAACCCAACCCAGGTGGGGACTGAACTTGTACTATACATCCACAGCATATGCTAAAATAAGGTCAAAATTTCATTAAAAGGGCTTCACATTTTCCTGAAAGCATAGCATTAATTGAACGAGACAGGGTATGTCCTCCTAGATTCTTACGAGCACAGGCAAACTAGCGACATTAATAAAATGCAAAATAAAGCACAACGACCACATCCACAAAAATTTCCTTCGTTCACACACCTACATTGGAGTGTGCTTCTGTTCCTCAACAATTTCACAGAGTTGGAGAATCTCACAAAAAAAAAAAAAAAAAAAAAGGAAGAAGAAGAAGAAGAATAAGCTATTCTTATTGAGATTTCTATACATGTCCTAGACTACTACACACACACACACACACACACACACATCTCATTATATTTCATTTTACTCAATAAAATAAAGGCAATGGAGGAACAAAAATGAGAACCAAGTTCAGGAGTAGGGCATACCATCATAAGGAGTTTAGCAAAGAGAGCAACTCCAACCGCAGTTAGAATCATGGGCATAGAAGCAGTGTCAAGAAAGGATTTTGATTCAGGAACGTCCACAAGGAACTGCTTGACACTTTTCTTCTTCTTCCTAAATCTCTCCAACTCGGCGATCTTTACCTTTAGAGCCTCTGATGGACGATCACGTTGCTGAAGGAGATGCATCTGTCTCCGAAGTACACGCAGTCCATAGCCAAATCCTGTCATGTCTAATGGAATCTTTTTTCCTTTTTTTCCTAAGAAAATTTCTTCAATTCCCAAATGAGAATTGCCCAAGTAGACCACACATATATTGCGCTTGTAATCGAGTAAGGTTTGTAAGTTTGTTGGTGCCCTCACAGTTGAAGTTGGTGAATTGAGAATGATCCGCTTGCTTCTTGAAATCCAAATAGATCTATTGTAAGACATCTTCCCTTAGTATCAACTCAAAGTTACAAGCTTGAGTAAATATGAAAAACCATTAAGCTGTGGTGTGCGTTTGGCTAGAAGGAGCCATAAACAACCAGGCATGGAGGAGTAAGTTCTCGAAATAAAACAGACTACTTTAATTCGAATATCTGGGTATTTGTTTGCAAGGAAAAATTGGAATACGATAGATTACTTCAACTAGTTCTAGATAACTAGAGAAGAAGGCGATGCAGGAATATTAATAGGGGTGGTGCTTTGGAAGATTTAGGAGACTAGAAACAAGGAAAATTTCAGTAGAGACAAAAGAGATATACAGATTATCAAACCCTAAAAGATAATAGACATATGCCGGAAATAAAAAAAGCAGGTCACGATAAGTTCGAAAAGTCGTAATTTCCGCAAGGCTAATTAATTTTCGTTGCTGTTCTGCTGATTGAAGAAGAAATAGGTACAACTCCTCCATTCTTTCAGTAGACAAGTCCTAACTTGAGTTTTGCGAGAGAGAAAAAGACGTAGAGGGAGTAGGGAGAATACCAGTGATAACAAGAGAGTAGACAACCAGTGGAACTCGCTAAGAGGGAGGACGCGGCGGCACGAGCAGAAGAAAGGGGGCGGTGAGGGTGGCGACAATGAGCGACTGAAATGGATGGGGAGCCAGCGTGAAGGAAGCGAGAGAGCGAGCGAACAAAAGATGGAAAGGGGGTTGGGCCACTTCCGTTATTTCATTCTTTCTTTCTTTCTTAATTTGATTTAATTTGATTTAATTTGATTTAATTTAATTTAATTTAATTTGAGAAGGTGGATAAAGAAGTAAAGGAGGGAATATTACTAATATTTTGGAGTCGAAAGGGAGAGCAGACTTGGATGAAGATGAAGATCCAGATCGAGATCTACGTCTTCTTCCTCCAGCTCCCGAAAAAGAATAATAATAGTAAATAATAAATTTTATTTTTTAAAAGAAAACATCCACCACCCCAGAAACAGAAAGCGGAAAGGTATCGCCTGGTTCATCTTCCTCTTCTTCTTCTTCTTCTTTCTTCACAAAAATGGCGAACTTCCTTCTTCTTTCTTACAAAAATGGCGAAGTTATGATGGGTATAGCTTGCCATCACCAACCGCCAGCTTTTTTGGCTTTTACTAATTTGCATACTTTTCCTTTTTCCCTTTTCCAACAGCGAGGCCTGGTACCTGATACCTGATACCTACGCTTCGCTTCGCTTTGCTTTGCTTTTGAAGACACTGTACGCACTACCGTACCATTCATTTTCCTTTTACCTTTCCTTCTGTTATGGAAAAACACCATCATCTTCAACGTCAGGTGCTTCTTTTCTTCCCTCTCTCAACTCCATTCATTCTCTGCCTCTGATCTCTTATTTACCTTCCCTCTCCCCCTCCCCCTCCCCCTTTTCTTCATGTTATGCCGGAATACCAGGATATCAAGGACGAACCCAAGGACCTCGATTTGGATCTCGGATCCGATGAGCCTGACCTTACCCCTCTCCCCCTCACCGTTACTTCCCGGGTACTCACTTTATTTCTTTTCTTTCATTGCATTTCGCTACTATTTTCCCTCATCAACTTTCTCCATGCCCCCTCAAATCCAGGTACTGCACATGTTGGGAGACATCGCAGCAGGTCCAGCTTACAGGTTTTCCCAATGGCTTGAACTCGTCCGTAAACGTAGCGGCAAACATCGCGCTTCTGGCTTCCACAACCGCCCTCATCCACCCTTCGATATGCCTTTCGGGTTTGCCCAATTATATGCTTTTCCCCTTCTTTCTTCATCATTTATCAATTAACGCTTGTGTACCAATTCAGCCCCCTATTATAATGGACGTGATTTCTATCACTTACTTTTGAATCCTCTAGCTTAATTTGCTGTGTCATTCAAATCTTTGTTGTGTAACTTAGAAACGTGGTTACCATTCAGTGCTGAGCAACTTTTCAATGAATCAATAAGTCTTCCAGCTCCCGAGCACTCAACTGAAACGAATTTGTGGGATAGACTCGCTAAATCCTCGATGTTGGATATTGAGTCGAGCTCTTTTTCGTGGGATAGGCTACTGTCTCTTCACCGCACCGAACACAGTAGTAGCACTGAACAATCGGAAGATGAGATGAATAAAGCCCTTGAGGTCTGTTATTTTAGTCTTTTTTTTTTTTAAAAAAAGTTTCTTTTGCTTACTACTTAGGGAGTTCTTTGTTTTTCTTATTCCGGTGAACGTCTTGTTTTCTAGAATGATTTATGTTAGTATTTCTTCCAAAGTCATGAATTTGTAAGTAGTGATTTCGATGCAGACATTGGTATTAACTTTTACAATTATTTTATTATAATTCTTATAACTTGTTTTGAAAATGGCTCTCCGAACAAGCTCTACTTTTTTTAGGAAGTTAACGAAG